TACATGGAAAGGTGCATCCGTAACAAACACAACAAGTCGTCTGGATTCACCGCTTTTCTTCCATCCTATTCGCTGYACACAGAAGGAGATACTGTTAGATACACTTTGAGAGATAATAGCAATAGACTAAATAGTACTAAATCAGCGATGTTACCAACTGTAAATAGAATCACAATTTGATTTATTSACTTACATTACTACAAACCGCAACCTGCATCAGGGCATCAAATCCTCCCTCAGGTTCATCAAGGTTTCCAGAAATGATTTGTTTATTTATTTCTTCCTTTAGAAATATAACATGATATAGTATAATTAGCAGTCCATTTACTTACTTTACCATAAGCAGGATTCATTGTAACAATAAAATAGTGAAATACCTTAAACTTGGTATCATTTTTGACTAGCTTTAAGATATGTTTGTATCCATAAGTTGGTACACATTGTTGGTTGGCTTTGCAGGGCTTTTTGAGCCTAAAAGAAAAGCRGTACAATATAAGTGCATAAGTCACAATTGTCAACATTGTTCAAAAAATAATTCTACTGAAGAGATTGYATAAAATTTCTTACTCTTGTCGCATGTAAGGTGAAACAGTTTTATCGACAAATGATCCAAAGCCAAGTTGGTAATTCTTTGTGATGTTCTTCAGAGTTTGAGCTAGTCAAAAGTAGAACAAAATAATAACTAATCACTGCAAATCCAATTACAAGGCATTAGCTTCCAAAGATTTTGATATCATTAGTGGAAGATTTTGTACAAAATAAGTATGATTTGTTTTATCCTTTGAAAAGCAATCTTACCTATCTTTCCTGCAAGATTCTTCAATTTATCCAAATCATTTTGCATAGACCAAGACATGTCCATAAGATAATACAAATCAACAGGATAGTTTTCAGCAGAGCGAACAACWAGAGGAATGGTTGCAGGAACACCTTAAAAACRCAAATATAACAAYAGTCAATAATACTAGACAAATCTAGAAATAACGACAATGTTTTATGCCTACCTGGTCTTAATTTAAGTGTCACCTTTTGTGGTGAAACTTGAACTGTTGGACCCACACCTATTGGCTGAAAATAAAAAGTATTGTTACTTAAATACTTTTCAATTATATCTTTACTGTCACAATCCTTCTATCTGAATTACACATAATATTTCAGTACACTGWATGTACTAAACAAGAGCCTGCTCAGAACAGCACACACTGTATTTCCTGACACAGCTCTYCTTTCACTAAMWMTWTWTAWWAWAMWMCWSWRTATAWWATMWYAATGATGATGACAATAATGATGATACAYGATGGTGACAAAGCACAGCTGTATATATACTTACATTAATGGGTTCATATTTGCTGGATGGATTRGAAATATTTGACATSGGGCAGCCCAGTTTTTTTAAGTTTTCTAGTGTGTCACATCTTGACTCTGCTTTTTCCTTAAATTTCTGGAGGAAAACAAATATATACGTTACTAAAGCAACTTACATGTATATCATTAGACGTAATGTGTGCTCAAGTTGTTCAAGTAATAATAATAATCCCTTATCAAAGAATGATTTAGTGTGCTTGAAGATTGCACATAGCATGAAAATGCTTACTTTGTGATGAATAAACAAAAACAAGAACATGATCAATACTCTTACTAAGTCCTAGCTTCAAGGAGTAAAATATACAATTATCAAACATATCTCACCTCAGCAGAACACCATGCACACTCAGCTTTACTTATGCACTGTTTACATGTAGCTTGAGACTGACAACCTTTAAAATAATTCATTCAAAATTACTACAAAAATTAATGAAAGACTGCACCTTTTATCGATAGATATAAGTGAGAACTTACTTTGTGTTGAGAAAGGAAGGTTGACAATTGTAATAAGAGCTACAATGAAGAAGAAAGTCTTCATCTTGTTTTAATCTAAAACACAATTGAATTCAAGTGAGTGTGAGCTGTATATGAGCAGAACAATAGATGGTGTGCATACGTGGTGGTTTATTGCCAATTTGGAGTACCTGCAATGCGTTATCTCTATATATAGTTTGGCGCATTTTTCGTGTCAAAATTCAAATCTGCTATTCTTCAATTTGTTCATTCAATTTGAACATTCAATTCTTCAATTCAAACATTCAATTCTTCAATTGGAACATTCAATTCTGCTCGAATTGAAGAATTGCATTTTTGAATTGAAGAATTGAATGTTTGGATCAAATAATTGCACATTCGACTGAAGAATTGCCAGTTTGAATCAAAGAATGGCATGTTGAATCGAGGAATCGCATACCATATTTACTTGAATAGACTCTGCGGCGTTTATTTCATTTTTCACGATACAGGTGCGGCGTTTATTCGAGGGCAGTGTCTATTCGGGAGCGGCGTCTACTTTTTATTCTATCGTTTTGCTAACAAACAGTAACGATTCTCAATATATAAATGTCATGTTCATTTTGTCTTTTCAATTTATGGTTTTAACCAGAGTTAAACGTCTATTTTAACATCAATGTCTTCCTCGTGGTCGGAATCTAACAGCTGCTGAGAGCAAAAAATTACAATCACTTCGAAATAAAAAATGTTAAAAAAGAAAATACATTCCCATTGCTGGTATCATTATTTCCTCAAATTGACGCCGCACCCAGATGCGGCGTCAGATGYGGCGTCTATTTGGGGGCGGCGTCTACTAATATTTTGAGCTTTAAGTGCGGCGTCTATTTGAGGGCGGCGTCTATTCGAGTAAATACGGTATTCACATTGAAGAATTGAATGTTCCAATTTAAGAATTGAATGTTCGAATTGCATAAACGAATTGAAGAATAGCAGATTTAAATTTTGACACGAAAAACGCGCCAAAATATTGCTGATGGTCCAGTCACTTGTTGGATCATTTCAAATAGAGCTGGATGCATGAAACCTTCTACATGTATGGTCATTGTAATAATAAGAATCAAATGTATAAATAATAATAAATGAATCAAACTAAGATCTTAAGTTTTTTTATCATATATGTATAAGTAAAATTTACCTAGTAAAAAAACAATACGAAATTATTTTTATCTTATTCAAGAAAAACAAACAAATATTCACTGACTTCACTTAAACAACCGAACAAAAGAACAGAAAGCAAAACAAAAGTAAGTGAAAAAAATCGTCTGTCTTTATGTTGACATTTGCTTTAAAAGTGTAYCATAAAAYCTTTTTAGAAAAGAAGAGTCAAACCACTCCGACAGTGGGGTACGTAGCTGTCATTAATTTTGCGGTCCAGACAAATATGAATGTAAGACCTTACGTATCTATAGATAAAGAACAAMTTGTCATTGAATTAACAAGCTGTTTCTTGTCCACTKAATGCAGTACGGTCAGGAAAAAGCATATTTTACAGAAGCTCAGAAAAGTAAGACTTATTGGATAAGAAACATGTTAATATCTCGATTTTTATTCGCAACGAACTACACCTAAAAAACCATCACGCCAGTACTTAATAAGGTTACTAATGATCCCTTACTCTTATTGAGCATTATATAAGCTTATTTTTGACGCTGGCATTCACAATAAACTAATGATTAGTTAAATGATTAGTTAATTTAATTGTTGCATTTCAAGCAACACTTCAAGTTGTATAAATATCATGCCCCGCAAATTGCTCACTTTGATCGACTGCCCTTTTGTATGACACAACATCTGTGTCGATTGAGGATAAGCTTAAATCGAGCAAAAAGACCCAGCACATCAATAAAAGGACAAGAAAACTATRTCTTGACTTCTAAAACTACTATCAGAATAATGTTTCGATGGAGATTAACCAAAAGATTTTATTTACGAACTTGCACGCCCATTCAGAGTGTGGAAGAATGTGATAGTCATCGAGAGTTGGAAGAAAGCTTGATAAGATGGAATTACTTTATCAACAACTGATTTACATGAGATGTCACATCAATCTCAACTGAACTGAAGTCTTACCTTTCAAGGTTTTTTAGCAGGATCTTCTGTTCTATGCTTATCGAAAGGATTCAATGTTCTAACGAAACCTCAAAGCTGATCGAGTTATTCATCAACAACACACACATATCCGAAGGAAGTTCAACCCCACATTTTATCACACCAAATATGGCGAGGTTAGACATATACGGCAAATGTTTACGTCATTTCCGGTACGATCCCTGTACGAAACCCACTACAGGAGTTGAGTAGGACGGTCAGTCATGAATATGCTAGTATGTACTTTCGTCACGTCCGACCGAGCCCATTAATACCGGGCACCAGACAATAAAAAATTGTTTTAAAATATCGGAGTAATGTTGGCAGTGAATAGATTTTTGTCTACATGCAAAAAAAAAAAAAAATGATTGAGAAAAAATAGAAAAAATGGATGGATAAATAAAGGCATGAATTAATAAAGTATTAAACAATAACTAAAAGACAGAAATGAATACAAATAAATGAATGGATAAATAATAAACTGATAAACTGCAAAGCTGACTTAGCCTGTGTACCTCCTATCGATTTTCCCCGTAGGGTTGGAGGGGTTGGAATGGATGTACACAGGCTACGCTGACTTTCTTTTCTTTTCAGTGCTTTTTTGTTTGTTGRTTGGTTTTTTRTTCGTGGAGAAATATTGGACTCAACTATGCTTACCACAGAACAATCAAGAAATATTGTATAAGCTTTTCAAGGCAATTAACACAAGAGATAAACGCCCTGGTGCAGGAAATGCAATTCTGTTATTAAGTTATAGCCTTGTGATCAGTAGAACCTTGCACAATAAAAGTTTAGGCAACTCTCCATTTTATTAATATAATATTTAATAATAATAAATTGGGACCATTGGGAAAACATAATTTGTCATGAAATAGTGTAAACATTCTAATATCAAATACTGCAGTCATATGCATAACATATTTTTCCAAAATACTATTAAAGTTAAACTTTTAAAAAAATTTGGCAGTTCATTTCAGTAAAAACACTTGTTCATAGATTTCTGTAACTCTTTCACTCGTGCAGRAGTCCAATATTTTGCAGTTTGAGTGGAACACCTTGAAATTTTGGAAATTGTATAATTTGGTAATTTATTGTGATATAACTTTATTTGTCTGTGGAATTTCAACATTATAATTCATTAYTCTTGGATTGTTGTGGGCAAAAATCTGAAAAAAATAATCAAAACAAAACAAATTAATTAGAGTGAAAAGCTCTCTGACAAAATCTAAAAGTCAAATAACTGATTTCACATTTCCTTTGTTATGAAAACATACAACAAGGGAACTTAAATATAATTCCAGAATAAACAAGCAAAATAGACAAACTTACGTAATGTATCTCGGCAAACTGCTTCTTGTTGATTTGCATGCTCAGTTTTTAGTACTTCAATGACTTCTTCTTCATGTTCACCAAAAATATCTTCACACTGAAGTCATACAGAACAAAAAATATTTCAAAACACAGATCATCTTAGATTCAAGCAATRCCAGGAGCACTGCACTGCCTCCAATAATTAGGGGTGGCAAATGGTCAATTAGATTTTCCAAGATGGTGAGGCTAGTGTTTTTCCCTAAAAGACCAAGACTCCTTGACTTTTTAAATTGTGAAAAAAAAAAACGAGAACCCAAGAGTTTAAAAATTCCCCCCAAAATGAGATTTAAAATTTATGTGTGACCATTTGCTGCCTAATGCATATAAATTATTGGCCTCYATTTATGTTACTTACTGCAGTTTTGAGCTTCTTTGCTATCTCTCCACTTAGAGAAATATTAGACAAATTAACAGGAGATCCATCTCGGGATGATGTTCTGATGTAGGATATCTTTCCTGTATTTGGATCTTTGGATTGGGCATACTGATTCATATGTTCACATATTTTCTCTAGTAATTCTGTCAGGTGTGTCTCTGATCTTGCATATGGAATCTGGAATGGTATTATACAAGATGATTCAATATCTTTTTTAAACGCTACAGTACCAAATGTATATCTAAAACAGTTGACTCTCTTTGAACGACCACTCTCGTAAGCGACCATCTACCGTAAGCGACCACCTTTTAAATTTCCTGTTATAATTGTTTCCCATATAAACTCTGTAGAAAAACTCTCTCGTAAGCGACCATCTCTCGTAAGCGACCACTTTCTCCAGATCCAGAGGTGGTCGCTTACAAGAGAGTTGACTGTATTAAACACATTCAATCAAACCTTGCTTGTATAACTCTGCCTTCCTTTTGGGTCAACTCGAAAACTTTCCACCTAAAGCACAGAGAAAATAGTGCAAATGAATTGTTGTCTTAATTTGTATTTTATGAACATGCACCATAATAATTATTCTGAAAGAAATGTGCTCTTCAAGAGTGTTGGCAGGATTTTATATCAGAAACATCAGGCTAAACCCCMTGGTCTGTCACTTCTCATGAAAGTGCTCTGATCACTTCATTACTGAAGATTTATTGGGGGAAGCAGGACATGGAAGCCAACTGTCACTACAAACTGACACAGGATAAAGTACAGTGGTTTAATTAAATTTGGAATTTTGTRCCTGGTCTGAAAAAGTGTATAATGCAAATCATTAGGGGCCACAAGCATTACAAGTGTCATTCAGCAAGTAGCCAATGAAAAGGTCAAAATAGATGGATCGCTGTYAGCTTCTAATGAAAACCCTGGAAGTATTGTTTGGAATTCAATCAAGATAAATTTTGGGGATTTTTTTGATGATCTAAAATATTTACAATATACTAGATATTATATAAATTATATAAGAACACATTTCTTTCACAATGCACATAATCAGAGTCACAAGCAATAACATTTAAATGTAACATATATTGTATACCTCTAATACTTTCTTGGGATTTACTTTCGAAATTTCCCACTCAATTTCATCTACTGTAATTTTGCAAACTGTTGATTGTAAGAGTTTTAACCAATTATCAAAACATAGTAGTTAGTACTAACTATGATTAAAATTGACAGTACAGGAAATACACAGAAAAGCTCTTGAAGTAACTAACCGGAGCATTTAAACTCATCAACACTTTGACAATAAGCTTGTAGAATTTGTGACAGGATTAAAAAAGAGAAAGATAACACATGTTGTAGATCCATTCTATGCACACAAGTTGCCTACAAGATACAAAGAAACAATCACACAATGAACATGAACGGTGTTAAACATTATCATCGTCATCAACACAAGTTGTAGGTCAACTTCAGAATTATACATGTAGAAGTTGCATAAAACAGGAATTAGAAACTATATCAATAAATAAATAGTACTGGTTTGATTCTAAGACCAATGTGGTTGACTAAATACATGGTCATAAATCATTAAAACTGCACCACTGTAAAGACATGTAAAGAAGCTTGGAAGCTTCAAAACTTCCATAACAAATCAAGGTAACATATTAAAGTTATCAACTATTCATAAATCTTGAATTACTCAAATAGACCTTACCAAAATAAGGACTAAGTACTAAATTTAAATATATGAATCAAACTTATACCTGTTAAATGGTAGCGAGGAATTTGTAACCAGAAACTATAAAGGAAAACAAAATACGAAAAAAGAAAATAGAAGAAAAAACAATTTTTGAGCCCGCGTGTAACCACTGACCAGGAGATTGGGTCCGGGTAAACAGGAAGCCCAAATACAAGTCGATGGACATCCCAAGAGTTATTGAAGGATACACTCGTTAATTAGTAGATATTTTCATCATGTTCAACAGTATTTTAATAATAATATCAATTGTTTCGAAACATTGGCGGTGATTTTTTAGACAACAAATAAAGTGGTTTCTGTGCTTGACCAGGATCTCCTTGAAAAGAAAGTCAATCCAGGAGCCCAATTAATATTAGAGGTAGGCTCGTGGTAATGGGCTAATTATGGCTTGACTTTGTTTTCAAGGCACTCCGTAACTGGAGCTATGTACTGACCAAAGGCAGGCGTCCTTCCAGAATTGAGAATTATCTTCTGGAGTTTCGCTATCATTTTGAAATATTCCATTCCCACTTTAAACCGGCTTGCAAAATAACTTAAACTTCACAAGTATTTAAAAAAGGAATTTATTAACTAAGAATTAGTTAACATTGTATTTTTATATCTTTAAAATCTACTATTTTAAAAGTTGCCTATGGCTTTGAATAAAACGATTTTCATCTGACCATCTTTTTTATCTTTTTTTATATAATTGTACTAGTTGCTTACCCCAAAATTGTTCCAACAAATTTCATTGACTCACGCTTGACATGGTCATAATATACCAACCATTCATTAATAGAAGTAAGAAGTAAGTTAAAATGCATCGAATTATATCACGAAGTATCCATAACTGAATATGGGGAAATGAACAAGCTGTAATACAATGTTGGTCAGTTTGGTCTTATAAATTATTCTTCTTTAAAAAATTATTAGCTATCAATTTTATCTAAATTTTTTATACCATTTAAAACCTAAGAATTTGATTCTTACCCAATTAAAATATACTAACTTCATATTAATATTTCTTTCTTCGAATATCGTTAAATGTCCTGCCAGGCTGTCCCAYTTTCTTGGAGACATGGCGGGTTTTGTTAGGCATTGTTCCCATTCACAGAAGCACCCCGCCTTTTTTTCATAATGTCTAAAAAAAACGAGCTAACACTTACTTATGTCTTTGTCCTATTATCATCCAATAAAGACTTAGTCAATCTATCAAAACCCTAACGCTGACTTGACTTATAAAGAAAGCTAATGCCCTGCCTTTCGGCTCAAATGTTGAACATCTTCGGCTATAGAAGTTCACATTAAATATAGGAACGGTTTATGGTTTGAAAGTTGAATTTCTCACCAAATACATTCCAATCGCTAATAAAAAGTCTTTTGTACAAAATGCCGTCAATTTTGTTGTAATTTCATAATGGTATATGCTGTCTGCACGAGTCTTGAACTCGGAATGACGCCAAGAGAGAGAATAGAAATTATGGTTATAATCACATTGGTGCCGAGTCTCGCCCAAGGGATTCTTTCTTGTATGACTTTTGGACTCGCGTTACTCTTGTGACGGTTTCCGCTGATCTCCGTCCATCTAGAAAACAAATAACATTATTTTATGCCCAACAAGATGAAAATGACAACATTGCATTTAGGGCGCTAGGGGATGAAATTGCCTGTTGGTGTGGCTTAAAATAAGAAATTCACTTGAATCGACCAAGGATTGTGCCAACGATTGTAGTTATAGACTTCTGCAAATGCATAAGCTAAACTTTACGTTTGACATTATGAGGGGCCTGTAAACATACAAATAAAAGAGGCTTTACCTTTTGTGGTGTATTCATCCAGACGACCCCCGACTGATTCAAACCCGCCTTTATTTGAGCCAACAGAGACCTTGAATGGTGCTATTCCCTGGAATGTACCTCCACTAGACTCTGTGCGATACTCTGACACCTGTGTGGTGGGGGAGTCGACTCTGACCTTCACTGTGCCAGGACTTCCTGTTCTGTATGACTTTATGATTTTTCTAGAATAAACAGCAGAGCCATCATCAGCAGTAGCGGTCATGGATTCTTCGCTGATGGGGTCAACCCTGACTTGTGCGGAGGGGGAATCCACTCTGACCTTCACTGCACCCCCCGGACTATCACTTCTGTAGGTCTTGGTGATTTTCTGTGTAAAGAATGTAGAACCGTCATCGGAAGTTGCCGACACGGATGAGTCTTCACCGGAGGGGTCAACTTTGACTTTAATCAGTGGACTTGTGCTTCTCTGTATTCTAGTGTATTTTGTGGTCGTCACATTTGTTGTGCTAGACGACTCATCATCTTTTCTTTCGAACGGTGATCGAACTGTGACCATTCTCTTTGGGCTCATCTCATAGCGAGTGATTTCCGACGACGATATCGAAGGCTCTGACACAATCACCTCATGTGCCACTTTTTGCTCTTTTTGACCAATAACATATTCAGTGTGGAATCGATTGGGGTCCTTCACAAGTTGCTCTTTAAGCCTGAAGATCTCTTGGTTAAGAAGCTCTATCTCTTTAATGTAACCTTGACACTCTTCACCTTTACTGGTAAGCTCGCGCTTAAGTTTTTCGATATCTCCTTSCAAAGTAATGATGACCTCTTTGAATTTACTGTCTGTGCTCTTCTTGTAGCTTTCGATTTGTGTCTCTAGTCGCATAACGACGCTATTGCGATGGCTAAGTTCGACATCTAGGTCTGCCTTTTCATTGTTCAACTTTTGAATCTCATTTATATATCCTTTGCATTCAGTCATGCAGTTATCAAGATCACGCTTGAGTTTTTCTACTTCCTGCTCGTTGGAGTTGTTCAAGATTCTAAGTTTCTCTATAAGTGTTTCCTTTTCAATAAGTTCTTGTTTGTATGCCTGGACTCTAGTTTCAATCTCCATTATCTTTTCAGTTAAAATTTGAGTTTCTCCTTCCGTTAGCTCGTTGTCTGCTTTCGATTCATCTAGCTGTTTGATGACAATGTTGTAATCGTTGCGAACAGTTGACATTTCAGCTTCGAAATCATACCTGTGTTAGAAAAAAAGAAACGAAAATATCTTTCAATTGAGAGTAATAACACGACTTACAGAAATGGTTTATGATTTTAACGTGTRGGTTACTAGGGTGAAGTCATTGCCAGTGAAAAAGAAATTGACTTTCAAGTGTTAAAATCACTTGGACAAAAATTAGAGCATGCTTATAATGTGTACATGGTTTTATATCTATTTCACGGGTTTTTTGACTTCAATCTATGTCGGGTTGTTTAAAGCCTGATTAATTCCAGGTTATCTTCGTTGACTGGTCATAATCTCTCTTTGAACAACCCGAGGACCAGATAACAAATTTGACTGAATATTAGTAGGAAAACTATGGCAAAGTCAATCGCTTAATAATATCCAAGATAGCATTGAAACATTAAAAGTCTTAGCTTACCTCTCCTGATTCAACCTCTCGATTTCTTTGATGTACCCGTTACATTCAGATTCCTTGGTTTCTAGGTCACGTCTCAGACGATCCAGCTCAGAATCGTTGTTGGAGACCATCATACGTAATCGCTCAATCACCGTCTCCTTTTCGATGACTTCTGTTCGGTACTCTTCAATACGCGTTTGGAACTGTGTGATTTGGTCATTAAGGACGCTACTTTCGCTGACCCCTTTGCTTCTAAGCTCTTCAACCTGGACGACAACCATGTCTTTGTCTTTTCGTAGATCAGCCAATTGCCTGTCTAGCTTGCTAATCTTGTTCTTTAACTGTTCTATAATTATTTCATCTTCTGATTTTTCTTGAGTCAACTTTTCAATTTCAAAGATGTAGCCATCACACTCATTCTTCTTGTTATTAAAATCTCTTTGTAATTTTTCCATGTCTCGCTCGAAGGTAGTGACCTGGAAACGCAACTTCTCGATAACTGTCTCTTTTTCAACAATTTCCTTTTTAAAGTTGTCGACGCGGGTGCTGATTTCGACGATCTCTTTGTTCATGTATTCTGAGTCAGAGTCACCTTTTCTCTTGAGATCAGTTAGTGTCTGTTGGAGGCTTTCTTTCTCGATTTTCTCTTTTTGGCATTCTCCCTCAAGGAAAATCACTCTTTCTCTAAGATCCATGATTTGTATCGTGAGTTCAGTCTTTTCAATTTGGATTTTTTCTATCTTTTCTACAGCATTAGAACATTCGGCTTGCTTGGTGTACATATCACGCCTTACTAGCTCTACTTCACCCTTCAAATGTTCGATCTCTTCATCTCTGGTGTTGACATCCTTCTTGGTATTCTCCAATGTCGTTTGGAGTTCACTGACAAAGGAAACATGCTTTTCACTTTCTTTATCTCCGTGCGTTTTAGACTCAACCAGCTGGATTTGCAGATTGGAGATTTCCTTTTTCCCGCTTTCAATCTTCACTTCAAGAGTTGCAACTTTGTTCTTTAGGCTTCCAACCTCAATTTCTAATTCAGTACGATATCGCTTTTGTTCTTCCACCGTCTTAGCAAGGTGAACGTTATCTTCTTCCTTCTGCACCATTTCTTTCTTTATGTTTGATAATTCATGTTCGACCGTCTGCATCTTGTCTGTGATTTCTTTGATTGTTGTATCTTTAGTGATGATATCTTTTCGCAGCCCATCAATTTGTATCCTAAACTCGCTGACTTGATTTGAATTTTCGCGCTTTTCATTGTCATTCTTTCTTCGTATCTCTTCAATTTGAACGAGAAGTTCAGACTTGTCTTTATTACCCTCATCATTCAATATTTCAAAGTTACGAACTTGTCCTTTAAGCCCGTTTATCTGAATTTCCATCTCTGATCTTTCTTTGTTTGAATTCTCAAGCTCTCTAGTAAGTTGAGCGCAGTCGACTTGCTTGTTGTTTAAATCTCTTTTAAGTTTAGAGATGTCACTTTCAAGATCAACCTGTTTGGATTGTAAAGAGGAGATGAGTCGATCTTTTTCACCGATATCCTTTCTGTATGTTTCCACCTCCGTCTGAATTTCTGTAATTCTGGTTCCAAAATCTTTAGACTGATCGTCTCCTCGTCTTCTGTAGTCATCCAACTGATTCTTAAACGTTTCTTTGGCTTTCCTCTCTTCTTCAATGGTAATCTCTAATTTCTTCATCTTGCTTCTAATCGAAATGACTTCATTCTCAAGATCAGTTTTATTCTGTTGCGCAATATCATTCGACTTCTTTAAGTCCCTGATTTTGTCCTCTAGCTCTCTTATCTCATTTTGCAAGTCTTTATTCTTGTCTTGCCCAATCTCATAGTTTGCTTCAAGCTTTGAAATAGTTTCTTGATAAGTGACAATTTCCTTCCTCAATGTTGCTAACCGATCTTCCAATGCTTTGTTTGAATCAGTGGCTCCTCCTGATCGGTCTTGTTCCGTTTTCAGGTCATGTTCTAGTTGTGACACCCTCTTAAGTGCAGCCAAGAGTTCCACCTGAAGCTCTGCTTCGTGCTCTTGAAGTTTCTTGTAGTCTGCTTCAATTGTAGAAAAGATTTGTTCAGATGATACTTCAGCTTGTTTAGACTTTTGCGTCTCAATGACAAGGTCATGCAGCGTGCGTTCCATCTTGTCGAGTTCCTTTAGTAGAGACTCTCTCTCCTCTACTAATTCTGTCTGTTCTTGCTGCAAGTCAACAATTTTGCGCTCCAACGTCTCTACAGTAATCATAAGTTTGTTCTTTTCTCCACTCATAGTTTGAAGTTCTAAGGCCTTATCTGAAGCAGCCTTCTGCAATTCAAGGACTTTGTCTTGAAGTTTCTTCCTTTCGTCTTTTAGAACTGAGACCGTCTGTTCAAGGGAATCAAGTTTTCCTTTAAGCGCTGCGTTTTCGCTTGTAAGTCTATCCGTCTCCAGCTTGTTAGATTCGTAATCATCCGGCATTTCGGGAAGAGCCTCCAATTCCGACACATCAGAAGATTGGACGATAACGCTTTCCTCGTACGTTACTCGTAGCCCGTCATACAGTCGTTTTATGGACTCAAGTTCAGCTTTGAGCTTTTCGTTCTCGTCTCTTAGTAGACGTATTGAGCTTTCAAGCTCTGAATGCTGAATCTGTAGCTTTTGAAGATCATACTTAGTATCACGCAATTCTTGGTTAACGTTTTCCAAGTCATGTCGAACTACTTCAAGCTCTCTCTTTAGGGTGTCGTTTTCATTTTCCAGCGTTTGATTGTCATCTCGTAGTCTTCCAATAATTGCTCTCATCTCTGCAAGATCTTTTAGTTGATCCTCGTAGTATTTTTGTTGATCTATTAATTTCTTCTGCAGTTTAGTGACATCCTCCTTGAGGTTCTCGTTACGGACTTTAGTTTGCTCTAAGATTCCTTTGAGTTGAGCTTGTTGCTTCAGTTCTACTTGTAGCTCATCTTCCAGCGTTGACACTGTATTCTGCAGTTCTTGTAGGGTACGACGAAGTTCATTTTTGGCGTTGTTGGCTGATTGGTATGCGGTTTCAAGATCAGAATTCTTCCTCTTGAGGTCCATGGCTTCCTTTTTCAAAATACTGATTTCTTCGTACGCTTCTTGGAGTGCGCTATCAGCCTGAGCAGTCTTCTGTTGAGCCGCTACCAAATCCTCTTGCATCTTTTGGAATTTCTCTTCGTATGAAGCCTTGTAGGCCTCTAACCGATAGATCTTATTATTAGCTGCTTGTAACTCTTGTTCAAGGTTGATGACTTTCTTTCTAAGGGCTTTATAGTCACTTGAATCAACAACATCTTTTCCTTGAAGAAGATTTAAAGTATCCTGGAGCTCATCGATTCTCTTGATTTTCATGTTCAAGTCATGATTCATTGAATCAATATTTCTAGCATAATCCCCATGTTCAAGCTCAAGCTTCGATAATTGTCGACTGGCTTCCAAGTATTTTCTGTCGGCCTCTTCTTTGTCTTTGAGAGCCTTCTGATACGTTTCCTGTAAATCGTTGTACTTCTTTTGAAGATTTGGATCTGGCTTCTTCTTATCACGTTTTTCATCATAAGAGGATCGGATCTCGGTGTATTTCTTCTGTACGACTGTTATCTCATTTTGAAGTCTGTTCTTCTCACTCAACAAAGCCTCTACACGTGCTCTTAGCTCGGAGTTATCTCTCTTTAAGTTGCCAACATCCTTTTTCAATCGGTCTTTGTCAGCCTCTAAAGCTCCATTCCGAGTTTCCAGATATACCACTTTTCGATTGAGCGATGTGACTTCGTTTTGAAGGCGGTCGACTTCTTTCTTAAGAGTGTAATGGCTATTCTTGTATTCGTTCATTGATGAAGTTATGGCTATGTTCTCTTGCCGAAGCTTGTTCTTATCACCCTCAACAACTTCTACTTTGTGTTCCAAGTCTGCATTTTTCGATTCCAGTTCTTGAATCTTCAAAGTCAACGCTGCATTGTCTTGGAGAAGTCGATCATTTTCCGTCCTGAATGTCGATAGCTTTTTCCTTAGATTTGCAATCTCATCTTCAAATGTCTTGTTGGTGTTACGATACCATTCCATTTGGTGATTGTTTTCTTCCACCGTTCGTTCCAGTGCATCAATTCCAGACTTCAATTCCATGACTTGCCTTTCTAGATTCATGTTGATCTCCTTCTGTTTGTCTAGTCTGCTACGTACTTCTTTCAGCTCATCCACAATGGTACTCTTTTCAGTGACAAGGCGATGGATTTGCTCTTCAAAGTCTGAAGTCTTCTTCTGGTTCTTGATTAACTCACGGTTGAGATCTTCATTCTCCTGCTCAAGACTTTTAATTTTTGCTATGAAGTCAGTAACTTGTCTTCGTAAAGAAAATACTTCTTTTTCTAAGTCTTCCTTCTTCTGCAGAGTTGTGTTGTAATTAGATTTGGTCGTCGTCAGCTCCTCTCTCAAGATGTATACCTCTTTATTTAATGCATCACGCTCCTTCTTGACGGTATCCAAACCATCTGCGACATCAGTATTATCTCTGCTGAAAAGAGCTTCCTGAAGCTGCCTCTCAGCGTTCAGTAATTGAGACTCGTTTGCTTGAATATTACCCATATTCTCCGCCAACTGAACTTCGAGAGCTTTTTTCTCCTTCTTCAAGTCGTCAACTTGCCGTTCTAACTTCTTGACGTATGTCCGTGATTCCTCGAGATCACGAGAGACAGTATCTAGCTCGCTAACAGCGCGATCGCGAGATTCGTACAGCGGTGCCAGCTCCTCGTTAGCGGCTTTCAAATCATGTTCTAGTTCCATGATTCGCTCGTTGTTAATTTGGTTGGCCGATTCGAGTCTTGAGATGTCGCTTTCATAAACTAAGATCCTTTCACGAACCTCTTTATCCTTATCATTCATTGTTTTATTTGCATTTTCTATGTCTTGGTAGCGCTTTCGCAATCCTACGATCTCGTCTTTTAGGCCACTAGTTTCTCCTTTGTTGCCTTCAAAGATGTTCTCTATGGTTATGTACTTTTCTTCTATGATTTTATAGTTCTTTTCGATGTCATTCTTTTCCTTGGACACTCTGTCATAATCTACTTGAAGACGGGCTATATCTCGTTTCAGGTTGTCAGCCAGTCTTGCAAGTTGATCTCGTTCATTCGTAATGTCTTCAATGGCCTTGTTCTTATTATCTAAATCTATAATATAGATATTCAGCTTACTTTGAAGCTCGTTTACATTYTTCTCCATGGCCATTCGCTCGTCTCTGTGAGTATTTAGAAGGTTCCGCAGCTCATTTGTCTTTTCTTTGGAGTCTTCGTCGCTGCGACTCATGGCTATGATCCGTTCTTCAAGTGTTGCTATTTTATTCTGGCTTGAGTCATATTCATTCTTGATACGATCTCGCTCCAATGTAACTCGTTTAATCTCTCCTTCGTATTCCTGGACGGTTCTACTTAGTTCTATGTTAWCGTCTTTCATCTGGTCTATTTCATCTTTAAGTCTATCTCTTTCCTTTTCAATAGTGACGATAGTGGTCCTGTAATTCTCTATTTCGTCCTGCAAGTGGTTTCTTGAAGATTCTAACTGGTAAATGACATTGTCTTTCTCATTCAGCTTCTCTTGAGCAGAATCTGCTACTAGTCGCATTTCTATCAATTGTTGCTCAAGCCTAAGGTACTCTTCGCGACTTGTGGAACTCCTATTTAACGCATCGTCAAGCTGCTTTTTCAGAGATGCTATCTCTTTATCGTCGTATTCAGTTTTTAGCTCGAGTTCAGTAATCTTGGCATTTGCAGTAACCAATGATTCCTTTAAGTCCTTCTTGTCACGAACCGCCCTTTCATTAGCTCCTTCTAAGTCGGTGATCTTTCTTTCCAGCATCCCCACTTGATGCTGAAGCTCAATAATACGTTTCTGAGACTTCTTATACTCTGAGTCGATGTGATTGACTTTGGATGTTAGAGACTGGACCTCGTTCTTTAAGTCTGATTCTTTGTCTTGACTGGCTCTGTAGAGATTCTCCATATCATAGGCCTTGTTYTCGAAGTCTTTCTTTTCTTTTTCGTGAAGATCTTTTTCACGCTGCGACGTAGTTACCACTGTCTCAATTCTGGAAACGTGAAGGTTGGTGCTATTTAGTTTTTCTTGTAGTTCTCTGATCTTTTCCTGGCTATTATAGCGAACAGTTTCCAGCTCTGACTTAAGGTTAGACACTTCTTCTGACAGTGTTTTCTTGTTGTTCTTGAGATTATCAATTACTTTTTCTCTTTCCTTGATTTCTTTTGTAAGATTGCTGATGGTTCTGTCACGGTCATTCACCACATTCTGGACGCTCAACATGTTTTCTTTGATCTTTCGGTATTCTTGTCTAAGAGTTTCGATATCGTCCTTCARTTGATCACGCTCTTTCTTCAAGGGTGGAATCTGCATTTCAAGCTTTGTCATCTCGTGATCTTTGGTGCTCAGATCTCGCTCTARACTGTTACGTTTCTCTTTGAGAGCTCTCATCTCGTCTTCAAGGTCTTTTGACTTACTGGTAATCATCACGATTCGCTTTTCGAGCTCTTCCTTGCTAACCTTAAGCGAATCATTATCAGAATTCACTTTGGTCAATTGCCTTTTAGCCTTGTCTAGTTCGTCCTGGAGTGCACGATTCTTGCTGTTTAGTTSGCTTATGACTTTATCTTTYTTGGAGATGACTGAGTTTAGGGTCTCACTGAATTTCTSATTCTGTAAAGATTTACTTTCAATTTGCATGAGCCTCTCTTTGTAGTCCAAGAGTTCTGCGTTGACATTATTGAGTTGTTCTCTGAGTTGTCCTACCAATCGTTTGCTTGTTTCGAGTTGGGTTTCCATTTTGGAGACCTTTGTTTGCAAGGCATACATCTCCTTTTCTGCGGCATCCTTTTCATGTCTTGTCGCCTCYATCTCTTTCTCTAGCTCGTTTAGGCGGTTTTCTGCAGCTAGAAGTCGATTATAYTCCGTAGTTTTTTCGTTGTTGATCTTTTCTATTTCCAGGTTCAAGGATATTATTTTTTCTTCCGCGACATCCATATCATTTTCCAGCCTGTCAACGTCACGTTGCCGGGAAGCGACCTGTTCTCTCAATTCAGAAATTGTCTTATTCAACTCCTCTATTTCCATTTCAAGGAATCGGTTTTTGTCACGCTCTTCGTCAAGTAAMGACGAGACATCTTTCTCTCTCTGGACGCTATCCATATACGATGACTCCACCTCGGATACCTTCATTTGGACAACGGTAGCTTCATTGACAAGCTGTTCTTTGTTTTGTGTTGTAGTATCATATAAAGCTGCAAGTCGTGCAACCTCGTCATTTGCAGCGTCAAGTTTGTCTTGTAGTCGTTGGTTTTCATCCTTAATAGTCTTATATTGACTTTGAAGTGTCGTCAGTTCGTCTGTTACTGTTTCCTTTTYGTCTTCAAGTTGCTTGAGTTTGGCATTAAGATCTTCGATGTTGACATCCTTTTGTTCAATTTCTTTCACGTAAGATTCTGAAAGAGTCTTCAGATCCCTTAGGGTTCTTCTCAGTTGATCATTTTCTTGGATGGAATTGTCTTTCCATTCTTTCAGCTCTTTGACCTCGGCTTCAAGTACTGTGTTGTCCTTTCGYAAACTATCAGCATCGTCCTCCAGCCGTCCGATYTTCTCAGTTAAGACAATAATTCTATGTTCGAAATCATCCTTCTTATCTTCACAAACTTTGTACTTGGATTCCAGATCAGCTATTTGTTTGTAGCATGTTTGGAGCTCGGTATTAATGCGATCTCGCTCACTTGTTACAACACGGTAATTGGATTCCACCTCTTGAAGGTGCTTCTGTAGTTCAAGTAGCTGATTATGAAGATCCTCCTTTTCGTGCTCCAGATGTTGGATTTTCACYTCAAGAGCCTGTGCCTCTTCACGGTAGCTGTCAATTTGGTCTTCAAGTGTAGTTATTTTTGTCTTCAGCTCTTCTATGGTCTTGGTCTTTCTACCGATATCGGAYGTKAGTCGGTCTGCGTTTCTTTTTGCTTCCACGAGYTCATTTTCAATTCTCACTAGCTCTCTTTTGGCATCTGCTGACTTATTCTTCTCCGTTTCAAGATCGGTCTTTAGCTTGTTGCGCGAAGCTGTCAGTGTCTGGATCTGATACTCAAACCGAGACAACTTATTTTTGAGGTCGGTCAGTTGTCTTTCCAGGTCAGATTTCTCAGASTCGCGGATTCGAAGAGTTTCTGTGGTGGAYGTAATYTTAGATGTTAACGTATCCAGTTCTTTTCTTAGGTCATCTCGCTCTCTAGAAACCATGTCATACTCTGATCGAAGATCTTTGATGGTTAAAGTRGACTCATCYAGTTGAGATTGTAGTTCCTCGACACGTTTTACCACATCGCCGTCAACTTGATCAGTTAACTTCCCTTTTGTTGTTTCCAACTCTTGGCTYAGATCAGTGATTTGTTTCTTCATCATGACTTCAACAGACTCCCATTCATGCACYCGATCTTTCCACTTTAACTTTGACTTCTCGAAATCTTCAATCTTCAAGTTAGCAATTATCAGTTCGCTATCCAACGTATCTCTCTCCGACTGCATCTTCGCTAAAGCATCTTCTAAGTCATGCATCTTCTTTTCGTAGGATTTCAACATATCCTCTCGAGAAGACGACTGCCTTCGYAGTAACTCAAGCTCCGCCTCGGTTTTCGACAGTTGTGCTCTGAGCTTGTCTAGTTTCACTTGAAGTTCGTCATTCTGRGCATTCAGAYTGTCAATCTTATGGGCTTTCATGGCGTTATCCTCTTTAAACCTGTTGGCAATGGACTGATTTTCCAATACTTCAGCTTGTAGTTGAGCGATAGTCTCACGAGCACGTTTGAGTTCTTCTCTCAAGTTATCGTATTGACCACGAAGAATATCTCTCTTTTTGCTAAGATTTTGAATCTAAAGTTTATGATAAAACAGCGTTAGTACCTTAGTTCTGAGTTTTCAAACACTAATTATTCCTGTCTTCTTCTTTTTGAGGAATGCATATTGCATTTTCATGTTCTCCAGTGTCAATTATGATTTAGTCGGAAAGAACTAACCATGTCAAAGTATATCTTACTTACCTGAACCTCATACTTTGTAACGATGTGAGTCTCGTTCTTTCCAGCCAACTTTGCCTCGCGTTGATATTTGTCGATGTCGCTCTGAAGCCCGGACATTTTAGCATGCATTTCAGCATTTTCGTTCATCAAGTTGTCCCTTTCATCCACAATCAACTGGTAGTCGCTTTGCAATTGCGTCAACTGATCACGCATYGAAAAGAACTCAAACTCATCTACTGAAGACTCCACCTCTGGGGCCTGCATGACCTGCATTGACATCTCATTCCGCAACGTTTCCAGCTCAAGTTCCAGAGCAGCCTTTTCTGAACGGAATTTGTCGATAGTGTTCTCTCGAGAGCTTACATCCCGTTTCAAGGACTCGATTTCCCATTCTCTGTCGCGTAGCTTTCGCTGTGTTTGATTAAAGTCGTCTTGTAGTTTCTTGTTTTCGTACTTGAAGCTGCTCAGTTGCTCGGTTAGCTTTTGATTTTGACGTGTCAGTTGATCGATTTGGTTATTCAGTTTGGCAACCTTAAAGAAACAAATCAATATGCTATTCACTAATAAGGATAATGGAAAGTCAGAAATTWCAGGAACAAAGTCATTTTTTGGTCACTCATTAAATTCCACGCCCTATTTTGGGTAAGAACCTTAGCATCACGTCATATTGGAAATTATTTTTAGTAAATACATCTGAAGTCTGAAATGGTTTCAGGAGTATTTCAATAGTCTTTCTTCGCCTGGAAAAATGATTCAAAAATCAATTCACAAGAGCCAATGCTCTCTACATAAACGTGGCCTCCAGTCCCTGTCCCCATCACTTAACCTCTCCTTTGGCTTGACCGATGGGKCCAGGGACTGGTTTACAATGTAAATTGTGCCGTCAATCTTCTCAGAGGTATTGGAACTTTTCGCGGTTGAAAAAAGGTTAATTATAACCCCCTCCCCCTCCTTGCAAAGTGCAATGAACACTTTATCTCGGTAAAGATAGGATTAGAGAGGATTGACACTGCAAAGGGGGGCAAAACCAGGGGGGGTTCGCTGGGGGGAAGATTCCAGCATTGTTTTGCCGATTTTAAGACTGCGTTTGACTGAAAAATTGTATTGTTGACTAACACCGAAAAAACTGCTAGACCATCCTAAAATGTTTTACGACATTGATTTCGGCAAAAAAATAAACTCTTATTCAACGTCATCTGATGCACAAGTAGTTCACATCGCTCGACAATATTATACGAYGCTCTCTTTGCTTGGTCAGCGATATGCCCGTGGGCCGCTGTCAAAAGAGAGGAAATTGCGTAAAACCTTATTTTTTTTGTGGTTTCCAACTCGCTAGTTACTCAATGCCATCTCAATATTTCATATACAATTGATAGAAAGATCTTGAAAGTACATTACATTTGTCTAGTTGACGAAACTGACAGCATGAAATCAAATTGGAACTTGGGTCACCTCCTATAGTAGCATATTTAATAATAAAGCGAAAACAAAAGAAAAAATATTTACAATTTGGCACTAAACTAATTTCTGCTGCGTCTTATTGGCAAAATTTTATCAAAATATTTTTATCGTCGCAACGGGGAGCTAGAAKATTCTGGATGGAACTTCCCTACAGGTGGAATCATAATGAAGCTTATTTTCTTTGCCGAATTGCTTTATACTTGAAAATAAATATTAGGTTATTCCGACCATAGAATATTTAATTACCTTATCGGCTTTTCTTTGAAAAAAATATACAATTGGCTACGGTATTGTACAGAAACGCCACAATACTAAATGAAAATCGATTATTACGAATTACTCCTCTTGATTGAAATAATAAACTTTTTTAGAATTATTGTTTTTGATCAAACACGCGGAGAAACAGACATTATCTGATTCTTCGGCTTTTGTTGTTATTCCAAATATTTTGAGCTATGTATAATAAAACGCCCGTTTATTGGGCAAAACATGAGCGAAGCAACAGAATTTTAAATGAAGGGAGGTACAATATTTGCAGATCAATAAGTCAAAACCGAACTGTATGTTGATTTGCCCATAAAACACTAGACTTCACTGATTTGAACGCTTGAAAAAGCACCCAATATGGTGACCAATTGGTTTCTATTGTAATTCGGGTGAATGTTTAGACTTATGTTATATCTCTTCAGTATTCCTTTTCATTACATATTACCGAAAAAGCTGTCTGTCAGACACACAAATWAAATGAAAACAAAACAAAAAAGCGCGCATGTGCTTGCCACAATCAAATTCAAAACAGGGGAGTGCCGTTCCATGAATAGTTTTTATTTTGTCTAGTTTTCAGTACTACTTCAGATTAGAAGCTTGCTCGATTATTCAGTGGTAACGACGCGCAACGAAAAACGCTCTGAACCCTACAACTGGCTGAAAACATCCGTTTTTTCACAGGTTTCAAAACGTAGGCGTTTTCACTAAGCGACCCTTACACTTGCGAATTGCACAGAGATTCAAATTAAAACGGCTTAAACAAGAATTTAAAATAAAAGGCATCAGTATTATTACTAAATTTAGTAATTTATCAAATATTACAGGAAGAAAGAAGTCTAAAGATGAAATATACCTACAGTAATAATCGGAACTGACAGATGACTACAAATCTAACTTTTTTTTCTTTCTTTCAATTTTAACGATTTATCTATTTATTTATTTTTTCGTTTTATGGAGGTTCCCTTCATTCGTGCCAATATTTGAAAACAGCTACATATTTATGGATATAAACCATGCACAGCAGTATAAAAAAACCAATGATCCCTTAAATAGCAATGTGGATTACTCTTCTCTATGAAGAGACAAGTGCTGTACTGATAATTCATCCCTTGATATGATCGAGTTTCCTTATATGGAGTCCTTGACATCATAAATCAAGCTTTAGAAGTAATTACTGCATTCTGAAGCAATACTTTCTCTATTAATTTAAGCTTTCACTTGAGTGGAAAATTACAAAAGGATTAATAGAGGTCAACACGAAAGAAATTACTACAAAAACGACGTGTTATTCACTGGTTTTCCGATTTTCAAGTTGAAATAAAAATATATTCAAATATGAGCGATGCAATACAAAGTTCTAGTAGTGCGGGCACAGTTTGTAATCATTTATTAGCCAAAAAAACTGAAACAGCAGGAGAATCGGTTTACAGCCCGGCCAAACATAATGGCCCATTCTACAATTCAAATCTGGAAGTACAGCTAAAATACAGCGGAATTAACGTACAAAATAGAAAATCAGAAAAATATTTTCGTGCGGGCTATTCATCATTTGTACGAAGGCAACTTTATCCTCTCCAAACATGGTTATTAAGTCACAAAGAAGAAGGTGTGTCAAAGGCCTGGTCTCAAAATTGAGTCCGCTGACTTATAAAATCGCTTTCTCCATCTTTTATTATATTCAGATTTGCCCCCAATTTTACCCTGATTGCCCCGTAGGCCGGTTACGCGGCAACGCATAGTWAWCCATGATATTCTGTTTGTCAAACACTGTAACGTAAGCCCATTTTCATCCCACGTCTGACCTTTTGACCAACGTCTGCTAATCCTAGCACGTATGAAAATTTACCTTCCTCCACATGACTAAAGATAATTACACTGTAAAATTTTCTCTCACTACGGCTTCGTCCCGGAGGATATGAGCTGAAATTGACGCCTCTAATATTCATTTTTGTTGTAAAATTTTCGGTATTTTTTAAAAATGGAAAAGAAGGAGGCGGCCGTCAGTCAATTGGCAACTATACTCAAAAAAAAAAACAATCAATCAAGCAATAAAAACWAACTTAGTTAAGAGTTATGATATGATTTTCATTAGTGAATGTACTTATAGATCTATTGATCTTTCCTCTTTACTCCGACGAAGGATTAACGTCCGAAACGTCAGTAGGTTATTTCACCTACTTTTTTTACGGTGTTTAATTTATCTTTTTACACAACTGATCTATAGAATAGCGTATTTCGAAGGACAGATGCTGATCAGTGGAAGGCACTGTAGTCTGTAGGACACTTCCGTACAACAACTTCTGCCTTCCTATCATTATTCAAATACTTTTTTTCTTAGTGRAAATAGAATTGGCATCGGAGGTCACCATATGAATCTGATAAATGGTAACCTTGCGGTTGAGGGCCAAAGAAAATGTTTTTAATGAAGAGAGAATGTCATTGTGAAAAGAATTGGTTACCAAGAAATGATATACAATCGACAGCTGATTAGCCGCGGGTCAAACAGTGACGAAAGCAAGGACGAAGGAGAGTTGGTTACTCTRGGAACAGCTGATGCCTAGTTTACATAACACATCAAACATTACCTCTTATAGACAAAAAATAAAGACAAATTAATTCTTAACATTCTCATARTTTTMTCTGTWATTTTCTTTGTATTAACCTCGAAACCGCGCAAATGGAAACGTGATGAATTTATTTTGAACAATTGGTCAGAAATCTCTCGTAATAACATATTCTTTTATATTCTTTTTTATTGATTTGTTTTACTTAAAAGGACATTTTTCGCACAATTACGCATCGGAGAACTAGAACATTCACATATTTCCAATATTGGTTAGGTTAGTTTACTAACTGCTCCCTAAGGCTGTTTAATAATGATCCTTTTTACAAATTACTGAAAACTGATGATATGAAATTCAAGTAGCGTTTCTGTACTAAGCTTAATTCGTCAAGGTGTTTAGCCTAGCAGCATTGTTTTCTTTGATTTAGGTAATTAATGAACAATAGAATAAATAATTTCACACCTCTACGAAGTGTATAATGGTATTTGTTATTAAGAGTGATAATGAAGTACTTATGCCATATGTGATATATACGTTAAATTTTACGTAACTGTATTTTTAAAAWCTGCGMTATTTCTATATTTCTTCATGGYTATGAAGTGCGTGACCGCAGACCAATGTCATCAATGTGACCAATGCCGAGATCWTTGTCAATATRCCACRCCAAATTTGTCCACTGAGGACGTGGTTAAATTTTTAGGATGCCCTTATTGTTACTTTGACCATGGAAATATGCAAAATTTTTGTATGTTTATAAATAAAAGTGATTGCAGAGGATATATAATATCTAGTTTATAATCTTTTTGAACTGAATTATATAGAATGTTGACATTGAATCATCAAAGGATTGTCATGCAATATTTTAAAACATTGAGATAGATATTTGTTAATAAAGGATATTATTGATCTAATGAAGTCAATGAATAAGAATGTATAAATCAAATAGTTTTAGATTAATTGAAGTTTTATACACTTCATGCTGATATGCAGCTGTTAAGTGGACTATTTCGTGACACACGAGCCACAGTTCTATAAATTCTCGGATTATGAGAAAAACCTATTATAATCTCACCATGGGTATTCATATTTCATTACTAAAAGAGGAGTTTATTTTATAAAGTTTAATGGTCATGCTAAAACTACGAAATCTTACCTGCTTCGAGTGAGTTTCTTTCTCATTGTCGAGTTGAAGTAGAGTTCTTCTATATGCAGCCTCGAGATCGAGAAATGTGTCTCTTGCGGAGTCATACCGTTGAAATGTCAAATCCGAGTCATCAAATAAGCCTCTTGTAGTTCTCTGGACTTTTGTGTACGACTTGTAGTCATCGCCCAACACTTCTTTGCTTCGTGCATCGGATTTCTCGCTCTGGTATAACTGGAAGGACAATCCAGATTCCCTTTGCTGTTGTGGCTGGCTCATGGCCGCTCAGCTAGAGTATCAAGATTTTATCAATCTTTGCTGGTAAGGATGGATGTTCTCTCGACAAGCAAACCTGATGGAAAGCAAAGTTGATCAGTTCAATCTAGCAAGTAATTTATTCGATACTCCGTGAGTTTATTTTGGATTCGCTTTTCGCGTATGCAAATTATCTTTCATTGGCATTCGCTTGAATGAACTCTGCCACTAAATTATCCTTTTCTGGCAAAAACTCAAATAAACTCTGCAAACACCAATGACAAGTAGACAYACATAAAAAGCACACTTTGTTTTCTGTTGAAGATCTGATATTGTGACTGTTAGAAGCGGCCAACGCCCTAATTCCTATATCCATAAGACTTTAGATTACAGTACCTCGGAAGCTATGAAGTCCTGGGGTTCATTGTATCACATCTACTGGACATGGACTTTAAGCTCAGTTCAGATATCTCTTGACAGAATCAGTATATAACAAGACAAGCAGACTGCAAAAATGTAATAAATATGTCATTCCTTTTTTCTTCAACTTCTTGACAAGTTTAATTCAAATTCTCTAATTAAACATAATTCGAATGAAAAAACGTCGATTTTGAACCCAGAAAATTCATTAAAAACGTATGCGATTTTTTATTAATTGTAAGATTTGTAAATGATGGGAATGCAAGTTAACAATGTTAAATAAATTCGATATTAAACTACTTTGATAAGACCTCCCGCATGCATGTTCGTGATCGGGTAATAATGAATAATTTTAGTGAAAGGGACTACGTGCACCGTTGCAATAAACCGCAGACTGAATCAGTAGAGACCTTAAGATATACTGTATTCGAGAACGGGTACTGGAAACCTACCCACACCACTAAACTACCTTTTACAGCAGTGAAACRATCAGTAGGTTACCGGGTAAAAAAATATTGACATTACGTTATTACATTTGGAAGCCATGTACGCCTTTTGTTTACCCGTGCCTGTAGACCGAAACCGGGTGTATCTTAAGCTCTCACGATTTTGCTTTCCACTGAGAATCAAAACAACATCGATAAAGCTGCTTGAAACAAAGATAAAATGTAAAAAAACAACACCCCCAAAAAGGAAATTATGAATAAACTAGAAGTGTTTTGAAAAACCGTCTTTTATCGCTTTTTAGAAATATTTTTATTATTYGTGCAAAAGAGAAATATCGGATCAATGGGATCTCACATTTTACTTATTTTAAATTTGACGTCCATCTATCAATYTGTCTATCAATCATGAATCTAYTACGATCTTTGGTACATTGTAAATGGCTCGATTGGTGGTCTTTTATTCCTAGGGCTATACAAWTTTTTTTTCTTCCTAACTTGAACGCTAATTTTAATTATACCCCATTGGCTAAAAAATAGATATTTGCTCTCCTCTTATTTCGTAATAGGTAACTTAATTATCTGATAATTGTCAATTAATTGTCAATTAATTGTGAATTATAATAAATGGTTTTTTAAATTTAAACCATATACCACAAAACCTCAGTTCCTTATATAGGTAAATGTGTCATATTAAGAAAACTTTGATTAATATATGCATTAATTTGTGATTTTTTATATCCTGTCGAACTCAGCAGCTGTAAAGATTCAGTCGATAAAACCGTCAGCACTCCACAGAACCTATGCTATTTCCTGTACAAACTTTTATGTAAAATATTCTTAAATGTGTACATTAAAGAATTGTTTGAATAAACTGATCATTGGACAATTTACTAATAAAGCTTTCCAGACGCTTTTGACTCTCTTTGAAGCAAAGGTTAATCGTCATCAATCAATGAGGCCATCAGGGAGTGACAGCAACGTCTTACGACAAGTGCCTTGCACTTAATTTTACGAAATCATTAATTATTAAATATCAATTTATTTAAAAGTTTGCTTGAGTGAGCTGAGATTCATGCGAAAGCACAGCTGATTTCTTTACAAAACCATMTRTTTTATAGTTTCTGTTGGATTATCAYSAATCCTATTYATCCAARTATTACTACAGCAACTTAATAAGCTGTGTTTTCCACCATCTTTTAAATTTCGGGCACATATGCGGAAGGTAATTAGTCMTATAACCTACTAAGAGATATTTTCAAGTCATATATATTTCAGATCGTTCTAGAGCGAAAATTATGTCTAACAGCATAAAAACATATGAAGTGTCTTGAAGTTTTAATCTTTTATTACTGTTAATGTTTGTTTGAAAAGAAGGGAGTTGGGCTTCCAGCGACGGTAAACAAAGAGTATCCGAAATTGCGTGAAGGAATTCTATTTTTAAAATCAAAATTTGACGTAACTGAAAAATTATTTCTCTTGCATGTAACTCCAAATATAAAGAAAGATCTTAAAAGATTATGAATATTTCAATAGAAATCCCTCATTTCTATAGTACTAATACTTGCGTACGTGACTCGACCGACTAATCAAAATTTGTTTTGTGTACATATTTTCAGTCGCCTTATCACAGCTTTTAAGAACTATTTACTTTTTGATAAGACTAGAGGTTTCCTGTACATTCTAGTATGTGGGTTACTTAAGTGATTAGAAAAATARCCCTCGAAGCAAAAAAWCCCTACAGAGCATAATGTACGCTTGCAAAATCGCCCTCTTGTAGTGCAGCGAAACGTAACCAGACATCAATCAAATTGTGGCGTGACTCCGTCTTCCGACTCGACTGAAACGTTTAGCATTGACACCATATATCGTCTATACCATTGGGTCATCTATGATTTTACTTTGTAAAAGATATATATTATTTCATTTAACAGTCCTATAATATCTTTTATGGACTTTGCAAGGATCCCTGTGCAGTAAACTGTTTGTTGTTGTTTAATAGTAACTGGAAATTCTCATGAAATATTAATGACCGGATACAAGGAATCTTTCATCCGAGTTAGTCTTCATTTACTAACTCTGTCTTTCATGGTTGAGCTATGTTCCCGATGTTTCTCAAACACAGCGGGAGCGGCTTGTTCTATCCATGAATCATTATGCCTACGTTGTAGTATTTCGACACTCTTAGTGAGTGTTCTCATGTCTTCAACCCATCGACCTGACCTAAAATAGGTAACGCCCTAGCAAAGCAGCACGGAGTGAAGTAAAAAAGTTTGACATAGTTCGTTCGAATCGTCACATGATGATCCACGACTTTGATAAGTCAATCAACCAATGAAAGTGTCATTCAATCCAAAGTACCTCGAGGAACAATATAATATTCGATGGTCACGAAATATAATAACAAAGAAACATCGTACATAAAAGTAAAGTTCGGCTGCCAAGGTTAAAATTGAAATCATTTTAATTCCGAGCTTTCGCACCCTTGGTGCATCGACATGCACTGGTTCAATACAAACAATTTTCAAAATGACAATAACTACCAGTACTTAAGCGCGCGCAAAGCAGTTAACCAATAGAAATGAAAACGAGAATCAATTAAGCTTTTTTGATCTTTATCTCTGAAACCCATTTTGCCTTATTTGTAGATGATACTTACATAAATATATGAATTGCATGCTAGTAAAATCGATGGCTCAAGGTTCATTGAACATGTTTACCTTCAAAATAAGAATTATTTAATCCATTTATACACCCAACTGTGTTTCAAGTCTCATTTACATCATTATATTATAGGAACTGTTCACATGTACACGGTTATAAGCAATGCTCAAGCAATAGTGCGAATTGCAATTTGGTTCCCACGGTCACTAATTCAGCGTGACTCTTAAGCAAACGTGGCTTGTTTAACTAACTCACTGGAGATGTTTACTTTCATTATAATAGTTCCTGTCACCCTGTCTCGTATTTTAAGCGAGTATTTTGCACAACAGTAATCACTATTTCGATAAAAAGTAACCATATTTTTGATTTGTTGCTCAATTGGTTTGCTACTATATTGACACCTACGGCATTTAACAAGTCCCCGGTATTATTTCACTGTTGACATTTGTGTATTTTTTGTTATTTTTACTACTTTATGTATTTTCCATGACATTTCCAGTCATAATATCATAAAGGAGGTTATCTGTTTGAATTTAGATTAAATTGAAATGCATTGGAAAGCGCGAGAATTAAAGTTCTTTCGCGGCAAAACACTTAGGATAATAAACCTATAGAAAGTGACTAAGCCTCATTAGCATATTGATGGCACACCATCGTGAACTTTCTATAATCTGACAGCTTGTATTTCGTTACCGGTCGCGAGGCTAAATTATATCTTACTACAAAGGCGCTGGCTTTGATATTTCGAGTATTCGCTCCAGAAATAATCCATTCAGAGTCTGATACTTGATGGTGACTACCATTTCCAAGCAACATACGTTACCTTATTTAAGTTAACTCAAAAAAGAAGTTGATCTTAGGTTATTTTTGTGTCACTGGTATCACAGTATTTACACCAATGATTAAATATCACCCGTCGCGGTGTTCGTTCTAAACCAGACCAGTAGTAATTTTCCCGAGCAAGGTTGAAACTAAAGCAAATCTAAACCGTATAAGCTATCCCTAAATGGCATAAACAACAATCCAATGAAAACAGACACTTACCTTTGCATAAAATTGGTTTGGGTTGCAAAGAAGGTTGTCTTCTGGGGCTTGACGTTTTGAAGAAGAGAATCTATGACTACAGGAGGAGCGTGRACCTCATAATTTATGATATCCACCAAGCCTTAATAAGCAAGGACAACAAAATTTATATAAAAGTCAATCGGGATACAGACTAATAGGGAAATTTCTAGTCGGGTCAGTGAGCATGTGTGCATGTCAACTGCTTTGATGGCTTGGGCGTTTATTTTCTAGGCGGTCCTAACTATGTAAATTACACTGGCATTACAAAAACCCTTGGGTCGATTCATCTACTGCTAGTCCCTTGGGTCATATATACAGAAAACTTCTCTGTAGACCTGTAGAGCGACGAGAAGGGTGTGAAGATCGAGCAACATCAAAAATCTGCCAATCGTCAACCTTACAGCTTAACTCAGCGTTTACAAGCCACGTTTGTGTGCGCGCTTCAAGACAGCTAGCTGAAGTTTAAAAAACAGTCAGCAATATGAGCGAGACTACCGAGGTGTCAAGCTCTAAGACGTCTCGAAAGGAGRCTTCGTATGGTGGACCTTCGTCGGGATCAGGCTCATTTTATAAGTCTATCAAGTCGTACTCGAGCAGAGGAGGAGGTCATGGCCATGGAGAAATTTCTCTTCAACAAATTTCCGAGGCCAAAGAAGTGTTTGGAGACATGGAAGAAGCTTGCAAGAAATTCAAGTTTCAGATCGAAGAGCTCAACAAACAACACAGGATTGAGGTATTTAATTTTTATATACTTTCTTAATGACTTAGAAATATTTTTTTTCGTGCCGATTTGTTTGCCTTCATGTATACGGTTTGTTTACGCGTCGAATCGGGCCAGTTCAACGGCCATGGAGTAATACGATAGCAGAAGACTCGGTAGTGACCACAACTGCACACGCCCATGTTATTTGGTCTGTCTGTGAAACAGTAACTTAACTCCAAAGTCACTACATGGTCCCTGGACTAAATAATTGGTCAAGTACTATTGCTAAAAAAATTAATATTTTTAYTTGTACGTCGTTATTTAYTTGTTTTTTTGAGCTTTCTGGCCTAATCATCTTCAGATAGCTACGATTACTTTTTTGCGTTTCTGGTAGAGACGGCTCGCTACCAAAGTTCCGCATAAAAAATAATATACATAGGATATAGATATGTTGGCTGTTYCGAGATTTTTAAGTCGATTTGCATATYCTAGTAAGGCTTAAATTGGACCGTAATGATTTCACTGATTGGACAGCCCGATCTCGCTAATTTCTTTCGGACAATCTGATCTCACGGCCCAAAGAAATTTCCATGACTAAAATTYAAGCGTTATTTAAAAAATATTAATCACAGAGATTTTTCTTTTTGCAAAAACAAAGCAACTAAAGCTCAAGTAATCTGATTTCAGACAATAGCCAGATAAATTATATTTCTTGCTAATGGAAATGTGTTTACGCAATTATAACTTTAAYATCCAGTTCAACAATATCGCAACCGAATCTATTTGCATTGACTTCTCTAWCAATGTTATATTTCATCAGTCGAGCTCATCGCATCATTGAGCACCTCTTTGCGTGAAATTAGCATATCTTACTATAACTCCAGTCAAGCAAGAGGTCACGGCGCCAGTTGGGACCGATGTATTTTCTTCATGTTTGGACTTTAGTCAATGAAAAACCTGTAAATGATTAAACATTCTACACCTGAAGCTGAATGCGGTCACCAGAAACGAAAATGTTTATTTTTCGAAAAAAATTGCGATCATTATGAACGTTTTGATGGTAATAGAGTGAGCTCGTTAAGACAATTTTCAAGTAATTCTTGGCAATTTTTATAGTGGGTTGGTTGCCTCAGTGGATGACTTATTTTGGGATGACTTCAGTGATATTTAAGCAGAAAAAACTGTGCTCTTYCTCAAAGCATTTCCATGCACTTTGGTCKTCGAAAATGACTGATTTCAATGTAGATGTTTGCTGGCAAGAGCGTTTGACTTTTGAAAAGGCTAGAAAGTGCATTCTAAGTTTTATGGCCAACGACAGATGCCGTGGAGAATTATTTAACCATATATGTAGCTATGTTATCGATTTGAATTTTTAAAAAAAGTCGCATACTTAAGTAACGCAACAGTCTTGTTTTGACATGGTTTTTACATTTATTTAAATGCGTTTTATCTCGGTATCAAATGATGAAACACCTTTCAGTTTCTTGAAAAATATGTCATATTTTTGTTAAGTCTGATACAAATATATTATTYTAAGAGCATTATAGATTTATTGGACGTTAACTTTGTCGACATCATTTTGACCCTGACGTTACTGCAAGACAAAAGACAAAACTCAACAACAACAATATATATGAATATGCGACCTCTTAACTTAGTGGCAGACGAATAGCTTCATTCCACGGCATATAATCCCGAATGCATTTCCGGACCTTTTACGATTGAACACCTTTTTTTAAGGGATTGTGCTTAATAGGCTCAATATTGAATTTTCTTTCTTCATGCTGTGTGATACTGTGTGAGGTTTAATGTTGTKGAAACCATGTAATGGAATTATTCAGCGAATAGGGCCGTAATTCATCAGCGAAACTGTCAAAAAAAAAATTTTTATCTGCCAAAGAGGCACCAAGATGACCGTACRTGCGTCAGAGCAAGGCTATTATCTGTCAAATATTTATCTAAATGGAAGCAAAGAGCTTAATTCARTATAGTTTTAGGATTCATTGGAGTTTAATGTTCAAAGTAGTATGTGATAATTTTCTATTTTTTAGRCAATGTACAGATTTTATTTGAAACAAAAATCTTTTAGCTCGGGTAAATTACAAGTAAATTYGTTATTATTTCAATTACTGTCGATTTAATTTTCATGACCCGAGGACAATTCAAGTGTGCCCGACAAAAAATATTCTGGAACATTTGAGAATAATACCGTAAAATATAGAAAAAATACCCAAGGGGCTTACATGCTCGTATGTCAATATGAAATATCAATATCAAAGAACTGTCAGGCTGGATTACAGTAAACACACAATTATCATTGCTGCACACAACAATTCTCGTGGTTGTTATTCTCCTCAAATATTATTGATGCCGGTAGAAACGTTTTTTTACTTCGCAAAATCTTTTTGTGTGCCAGCTATCTGTCTCACCTGGTACATTTGTAAAATGACAATGGCAYTTAAGTCCACTTCATTTATATTTATTTATTTGCTTATTATATCTGTTTCAATTGAAAAAAATACAATAGCACTTAGGTTCACTTTATACAGCAGGTGTCGCGTTTGATGCTTTTAATAACAGTYGCAATATTTTCAATTGCAAGCCTCAGGGAATTCGCATAAATTCTATATTTCTGTTCAAAGTCACTCCAGTCATCAACTTTAAGATATGACGTTTTTACTCAGCAGAATTAATAAACKMCATGTACAAAACAAGACTTCCAGAAATGGTTTTCTCGTTGAAAATGTCATAAATTAACGTTTTGAGATGTCTTCAAATAAGGATGATGAGGATCGCAAATTAATTGATCAATATATCAATAACTGACAGGGCCTTTGACAGTTTTTTGTAGTTTATAAATTTTCACATCTGCTCTTCTTCAAGACCTATTTCAGAAAAATCTCATTTTACGACTGTAATCTTTGCCATGGTAACACCAATCAAGCGAAACGCGACAAAAAATACTTCCGTTTTCCTTATAGTTCTTCATTATATTCACTGAAAAATTGAATTAAGGAGCTTTTAAAATGTTTTGGCCAATTTCTGCTTTTTTTTCGGGGGCAGCTCAGCATTCTTTTGGGGAGACTGAAATAATGAAGTACGAAAAAAATCATAGCGACAGTTTTTCCGGGATTTTTTTTCATGCACCAGTGACAACTTTAAATACTTCCCAATGAAGTTCAAAGGAGTATAGCTAGAACCTTGTTCACCTTGAAGTTTCAATCGCTTAAAAATGAATTTAATCAAAATTAACTTTGAAGAATTACCTTGGTGACGTTGTTCAAAATCATGCGGCTTTCAATCCATTTCCATGAATTTGATAAATATACGTTTCATGTGTTCATTTTCTTACCTGATAGACCTGWGTATGTGACTCCTGTTGCGTTTTAGAAATATATTACATTGTCGCCAAGATTCCAATAAGCTGCTTGCTCCATTATTCACTTAGAAATTCCACAAAAGAAACAGGTTAAGTGCTTTTCGTCAGTCGCTGCGCTTTTTCAGGTAGTAAGCAAAGTAACACTCACATTCAAGATATTGTAGGTGTAAAATGTTACTGTTATTTTAATCACAAACAGATCAAAAAGCTTCAAATGGAGATTGACAATCTCAAACGGCAAAAACTTGCAGTGGAGGAACAGCTAATGAATTGCAAGGGTGACAACCGTAAGCTAACCGACGAGCTAACATTGATCCGACGCAGGCTTATGGATAAAGAAACAGAGAACGAAATGCTGAAACGYGAGTTGAGCAAAAAAGACCACGAAATTTCCATTCTCCGTGCCGACAAGATCGATCTTCAGAAGCGAATCGAAAGCATGAGCCAAGAAATGGTCATCAGCTCTGATGTAACACATATTGTAGAGTCTGCACCAGAGGATGATCTTTTCATAGCTCAACAAGAGATCAGCACGTATGAAACCACCATCAAGAGCTCTATGGATGAAAGAGATGCTCTACGTGACGAGATTGCTGTTTTACAAGCCAAGCTTTCCAGAGTTCAAGGAGACTACGACAAAGCCGTCAGAGATCTTGAAGCATCMAAGAGGGACTGCGACCTGAAGGTGCGTAAGTACGAGGCTTCTTTGATCAACTCCCAGAAACAACGAGATGATCTTAAAGACAAGTTGGAGAGGTTGCGAGACGAACTGAAGCGAACTAAGGAAACCATTGCCGGACACGCTGCTGACGCCTTGAACAACAAAAAGGTGGCTGACCGACTCCGCGATGAGACTGCATTTAAAGACAAGCAGATTAGAGCCCTGGAGAAGAAAAATTCAGATCTGGAAGATCGTCTTGAGAAAGCCCGGCAAGAACTCTCTCAAGCCGAACTTAAGGCYGAACTGGAAAGTAAACAGAGGCAGAATGTCGAGCGTGATCTCCGCGAGTCCCAGAAGAAGATATCTGAATTAGAAGCTTCTATCGATAGCTTGAGAGTGGAAAATGGMGATCTTCAGCGCGAGCTGTCTATAACCATCAAGAAATTATCCGCAACTGAGGATGAGCTTTCAAGAGCAACTGGCAGGCTGAAACAACTTGAAAACGAAGTTTCGCGTTATCGATCCCGTGTCCGAGAGCTGGAGTCAGAAATCGAAAGAATCTCGTCTGCACATACTGAGCTTCAATCGACTTACGAATCGTCCGTTTCAGAAGTGGATGGACTTCGCCTGAGGCTTGGTGGGCACTCTGGGAAAATCAGCGACCTGGAATCACTTTACGAGGTAACGGCTAAAGAGAGAGACGAATTGAAGACGAAYTTAGCACCTTTGGAGAAGAGAATCCAGGACTTGAAGGTGGCACTAGAGAGAAGTGAGAACTCCAGAGATGATTTAGAACGACAGGTTGATGCCTTAAGAAGCAAAAATGCCAACCTTGAAGCACAACTGGATGCTGCTCAAAAAGCTAAACTSCAACTGAAGGCAGATTTGGATTCGGAAAAGGACAGGGTGGCCCAGCTTAGAAAACAAATCGCCGCATTGAAGACCGAACTTAATGATATGCAACGAAATCTAGAGAAATACAAGAACGACAACAACCGCAAGCAGAAAACCATTGACGACATGAAGAACACAATCAGACAATTGGAAGACAAAATCAACGTCCTTGAGAATAACGTCGGAGAACTCAACACCCAAAACGACATCTTAGAGGAACAAGCAAAGGAGATGCAGGCCGACCTGAATGAAGCAAACAAGAGAGCAGCAATGGTTGAAGACGAAAACTCACAATTGGAAGCTGAAATTGAGCGCCTTAACCGCGAACTGCAAAATAAGGATCAACGTATTTCAGAGCTCGAATCCGCCTACGACAGCTCAGAAAAAGAGAAGCGAGACCTTGAACAGCAAGTACTAGCTCTTACCCAGAAAGTAGCTCGAWTGGACAAGGAGCTTCAAGACGCTTTGAATAACAACACTGTACTGGCCGAAGACGCAAAAAATCACAAAGCCATTGTCGACAAAATGCAAGACGAGATCGACCGCTTAAAGAACGCTGTCAAGGACGCACAACGTCTTGCTGATGAAGCCCAGAAAGATGCCTTTGAGAAAGATGCAACCATAGAAGCATTGAAAAGCCAACTTTCAAAACTCGACAAAGAAGTAGATGAGCTGAAAGCTGACCTTGTGCACACAAAATCATTGTTGCAGTCAAGCGAAGACGAAAAGCATAAGTTGCTAATACAACTTAAAGCCAAGGAAGAGGAAATCAATCGTCTAGTGACTGAGATCGAGAAACACCAGCAGCATAACTCTGTCCTTCAAAATGAATGCCTTATAGTTCAAGACAAGGCTGACAGTGTCCAAACGAGCTATCAAGATTTTATGGATTCAGCTAATGATTCAGCTGCACTCCTGGACACCGAAAGAGAGAAGGTAGCACAACTTGAAAAAGAGCTTCTTAATCTCAAAAACAAAGTGCGAGTTTTGGAGGACCGCGATACGACCAAGCAGAAGGAGATCGACAGACTAAAGGCTGAACTTGAAGCTTCTGACGAAACGGTCGCTGACCTAAGGAAGGAGGTTCAAAGACTGGAGGGTGAAAAAGACGACATCAACAGGGACCTTTTAGTAGCCCGAAGTAAGGTTAGCGAGCTTGAGAGTGACCTTGACAATGCTCAACAGGACAGAAAGAAGGCTGAGGACGACCTGTATGACCTGCAAGGAAAGATTGGTAAACTCGAGACTCAAATTGAGACTTTGAGAAAGCAAAATCAACAACTGAAAGACCAGCTCAAAGAGGCTAACGGAAAGTTAGTTCCTGCCAAAGAAAAAATTGCAGCTCTCGAAGCTTCCAACTCGCAACAGAAAAAGATGAACGATGGATTAAATCAAATCATCGCCAAGAAAGATAAAGTCATCAAAGACCTAAATGACAAAATCAAGAAATTACAGAAAGAGTTGGAAGATGCAAAACGTGATGTCTTAGCTGCCAACGTAAGTGCAGACACCGCTAGAGAAGAAAAGAAAGAACTGGAACGCAAGAACAAAGCCTTGCTCGCACGTATTGAGCAGCTCGAAAAAGAACTCAAAGAAATGAAGGAACAAAGAAATGCGCTCGAAAGTGATCTTAGCAGTAAGAACCACCGACTTGCCATTCTAGAGGGACAGCTGGAAAGCATCAAGAAGGAGCGCGATAATCTCAGAATAGAAAGAGACGACCTGAAAACAGCATATAGAAAGTTGAAAGAAGATAATCTTGCTCTCTTGAGCGATCTGAAGCAAAGGGAGAGAGAATTAGAGTTGAAGACTAAAGAGCTTGTTGACAAAGATGCAATAATTGAAAGGCTAAAGAACGCCAAAGCTGCTGTTGATGCTGAATTGGCACGAGTTAAGAAAGAGCTCATGGAAACAAAGAACCAACTGGAATCAACTTTGAACAAGTTGAGAACATTAGAAGAAACGTATAAGAACACCAATGTAAATCTTAGCAAGCTGGAAGTTACAATTGGTAATTTGAACAAGGAGCGAGAGGAAAGAGATCGCGCAGGCACTACCCACGACACTCGCTACTATGAGATTGAAACCCTCTACAAGGCTAGCCAGGACCGCGAAAACAGATTCAAACAAGAATTGCTGTCTTACAAAAATCGCTTCGAAAAGTTGGAAAACGACTATCGCAATCTGCAACAGGAGAACGTCGATCTCCGAGCAACAGTGAACTCCTTGAACAAGAAAATACGCGACCTCGAAGCGTTAAGAGACCGCCTGCAGAAAGAAAAGCAGAGTCTGCAGACCGAACTAGTCGCTGTCAATAATGAGCTAGCTGATAAAGAAATCGAGTGGGATAATGCACTGAAAGAAAACGAATCTCTGAAAAAGCAGCTTGAAGATGCAAAAGAACGTTACAACAAAGCATGTAACGAGATCCTTGACCTCCAGCAGAAGAACGTGGAATTAAATTTGGAAGTTGAAAATCTGGAGCGAGAATCCACAGAGAAAGACAACACCATCAACAGCCTTATGGCCAGTAAGGAGTACATCGAAGGACAACTCGACAGCCTCAAAAAGCAGCTGGCGGCCATGAAAGAAGAAAACGATAATCTCAGAGAAGATAACGCCAGAGCTCAGCAGGAAATGCTTGACTTGACCAATAAAATCAACGAGCTAGAAAATCTTCTTGCTAGAGTGACTAGTGAAAGAGATCGTGTCTTGGAAGACCTCAGAACAAATGCCAACAAAATCTCAATCCTGGAGCAGCAGATCCGCGACATTACAAATGAAAAGGAGCAACTGAATGACAAAATCGATGAACTGCGCAGACAACTGAATACATTAAGAGAAGAGAAGAATCAAATCGAACGCGAGTATAATGGTCTGAAGAGTAAGATAGATTATTTCACCAAAGAGATTGACACAAGAGATAAAACCATCGAGGAGCTAAAGAACAGAATCGAAGAGTTGGAACGACAAAACGACTCATTGAAAAAGAACATGCGAAGTCTTGAAGCAGACTACGAAACAGCCCAACAAAAGATTAAAGATCTCGAGAAGTCCTTATCATCTATGACAGACCGTTTGACCATCATCGAGAATTCAGGCGAGGGACATCGTGACAAGGCAAGACGACTTGAAGAAGAAAATGTCAGTCTCAAAAGACGGGTCACGGAGCTGGACATAGCAGCAAAGATCAAAAACGAAAACGAGTTAGACCTCCAGAAGAAGTTAAGTCAAGCATCGGAACAGATCATAAATCTTGAAAATAGACAGCCACTGGAATCTGGCATTACGATGGAGAGCATGGAGTTAGTAGAGTCTGCACCAGACTGGGAATCAGCAGAATTACGAAGTGAACTCGAAGGACTCAAAACAAAATACTCCAAACTAGAAAGAACGAACATAAACTTACAGGACACCAATAACAAGCTTCAAGCAGACATCCAAAGCAGGGACAAGAGGATTAAAGATCTTGAGGACGAGATAATGGATCTGCAGCGAACAATCACAGATCTCAAAACMAAATTGTCTTCCATGGGTGACCAGACTGATGCTCCTGGAATWATTGCTTCACTAAGAGCTCAGAAGAACAACCTAGAACGTGATAACAACATGCTCATCCAAGAACTAAACGCTTTACGTCAGCAACTAGCCGACTCCAAAAARCGTAGAGAGGAGCTCGARAGCGAAAACTACAAATTAAAGAGAGATTTAGGTGACGTCACTTTGAAGTTGCAAATGATGACTGGCGAGAATGAGAATCTCAATGCCGAACTTATAAACGCACAGAAGAAGTATGCAAGTCTGCAAGAAGATTACAACAAGGCCCAGCAAGATATGGCCAGACTACGTGGAGATGTTGAAGAGACCCGCGCACAGCTTGCAAGAGCTAAAGAAGATATGTTTGAGGCACAGAGAGCTGCAAGCGAATTGTCTATGCAAGTAGATACGCTAAACAGAGAGCTTGCTGAAAAAGAAGATCAAATTCTTTGGCATGAAAACAACGAAAAGCAGCTGGAGAACGAGATAGATGCTTTGAGACAGAAAAATGCACGTCTCCAAGAAAGAGTTGACGAATATGCCGATCAAATCGCTAACCTGAATCGCACAATCCACGACAAGGATGCAAAGATCACCGAACTGGAACACTTCCTGAATCTCGCAAGAGATGAGAATGACCGTCTCAGGAAAGAACTGGCTACCGCTAATGCAAATGCAACTGATTTCAAGAACAAATACTTGAATGCGCTGAAAGACGTCGAAAGACTTCAAAGTGAAATTACAGCCAAAAACCAAAAGATCTTTCACTTGGAGAATCGCATCAAGGTCCTTGAAGCCGACAAGAACCGTCTGAAGATGGAAATCAATACTCTAAAGAAAACCATTTCACAACTGCGTATTGAAATCGAAACTCACCGCCAAGAGAAAAACAAGATCGCAAATGACTTGGTAATCGTGCAACAAGCAAACGATGTTCAATCCGCTCCAGCATCGGCGCTTTTCTCGACAGAGATCAACATCACAGATAACAAACGATACAAGGATCTTGATGCTGCTTACAAGAAGCTGAAGGCAGACAAGAGTATCCTGGATAATGATTTGGTATCATTGCGTGCTAAGTTAAGCCGAGCTGAGGGAGACCTTTCCAGCGTCACTCGTGATAAGAACATCTTGGAAGGTCAGTCTGCATGGAAAGACAAGAGGCTCAGAGAAATGGAGGATCTTTTGAATGAATACCAGACCAAGAATAGAGTAAGTAGACAATCAGTCATGGCGCACCTTTGATATTTCAATGTATTGTACATTGAACCATTCGTATTATATATATCATATGTAGGAATTAATTTTAATCAAATACATCTGCATTAACAGATTGATCCCAATGATGCATTGGCATGGAAGAAAAGGAATGCTGAACTAGAACAAGAAATCCACAATCTCAAAAACAAAGTTACCCGACTGGAGACTTATAATGAGACGTACGACAAGAAAATCAAAGATCTCTGCGATGAACTAGTAAACGCAAGACACAAGATTGCTCAAGTTGAAGCTCAAAATGAGGAGGCTCAACAAACCATCGAACAACAACAAAAAGAGGTAATAGAATAACCATTGATAAATGAACTTTCATAAATATTCAATGTCTTTATATAAATGGTAACGTAATCGTAAGCTGTGTGGCGGATCGGAGAGGGAGAGAGGCTRGGAACGGGAGCTGCTGCTGGGAAGAAAACGAAACCCTTTCCGTTTCCTATTTTCTTAGAGCCGTCACGCAGGTTCTCACAGAACATAATTGTAAATGGACTGAAAAAAACACTGAATGTTATGGAGAATATATGGAACCGGCGTATGAATATTATTTGTTATGATTTCAGCTTTTGGATGCGTACAAAAAGATCGCAGACTTGGAGGCAGCATTACAAAGTGCACAAAACGCCAAAGGTGAACTTCAGCGTGACAAGCAGAGCCTACAAAACAGGATTCACACTCTTGAAGATGAGCTTCAAAATGAAGCCAAGACCCAAGCTCAGCTTCGCGGAGTACATGACCAAACTAAGGCAAGAAACGAGGAACTGAAAGCGGACGTTGCCAAGCTTCAGAAGAAATGCCGTGAACTGCAACAAGCCCTCGACAGCCAAGTTGCTGAGCATGCTGAAAGGAAATTCACTGTTGATCGCTTGGAAGAGGAGCTCAGGAATTCTGCTGCAGATAACGACGCGTTGAGGAAAGAAATCGCAATGCTAAGGCAAGAGCTTGAAGACATAAGGAGYGAAAGACGCGACTTCCAGAGTGAGTTAACAAGAATTGAGCCAATCATGGCTGGTTTAGAAAGCAGGCTGCAGGCAACCCTGGARGAGAACTCGAGATTGAAGGTACAGATCGAATCACTTCAGAAGCAACTTCAAGAAGTGCGCAGCAAGTATGAGAGAATCGAGACAGAAACGACCATCATCCGCGATGCAGGAGGTCAACTGGAGTCTGGAGCTGGAGACCTATTTGCGGCACCAGGTGACGATGTTGATGGTCTACGTGCAGAAAAAGATCGCCTTGCATCTGATGCCACATCTTGGCAGAACAAGTATAACACCCTTCAGAAAGACTTTGAGGGCATTAGTCTGGAGAAACAGAAACTAGAGGACAGACTTGCCAGTATGCAGAAGACTATTAACCACCTCGAGAACACCAACCAAGGTCTTGTGAACGATAAGAACAAACTGTTCCATGACTTGGAAGCGGCAAAGAGGAAGTGTCAAGACCTTCAAAACGATCTTGAGAATTGTAGAGTTGGAAAAGAGGCCTTGCAAGCTGAAAGCGACGGTTTCCAGAAGCGTATTGCTGAACTMGAGGCAGAATACGAGATCAGAACAAAGAGTTCCATCGAGGACTACGACGACTCCACGTCCTACACTGTTCTCCAAGCGGCATACAAACGCGCCCAAGAACGCGAGAATGAAATCACAGCTGAACTGCTTGACGCCCACAAAATGATAGCAAGGCTGGATAATGAGAACAAAAACCTGAGAGAGCAAATAGCCACCATCAACGTGACAACACAGAATATTAATCTGAAACTGGAGTGCTGTAGAGATGAAATCCTTGCCTACCARAAAAGAATATCTGAAATGGAAGAGAAATGTGACCTTACTCGTGAAAGAAATGAAGAGCTGGAGGATGAATTGACAGTTCTTCAACACCGCATTAGCGAAGTAGACAGTGACAACAAGTTCAACCAACAAGGAAAAGCAGAATGCCACGTGGAAAACACTAAACTACAGAACAAGTAAGATCATCAACCGCGTTAATTTATCATAATAAGTTTACAGTGATGTCCATTTATACGGAAGCCCTTCACGGTTTTGCAAGATCTTATCCGATTGGTTAAGTAACTATTTGTTGAATGGATTWAAGAACGAGGAAACAATGAACATTGTTTTATTCCTCCAATCACAAGAAATCTTTCAAACTCGTGAAGAATAGCAGCATTTATAGATTTTGTATTCAAAGATTTCGTTGTTAAAAAGCCAAAACCAGTGATTAAATACAAGACAAAGTGAGGATTTCAATCTTAATTTTCTCTTGTTTCATTTATTCAGATTGACCCGTATGGAAACAGCTCTTGATGACTGCAACCGAGACAARGAAAGCCAACGCATCCAAATTAACAACATGAGAAGCAAGTATGACATGCAGATCGAAGATCTGACAACACAACTGAAGGACRTCATGAGTCAGCGCGAAAGCCTTCGCTACCAGGTCGACAACCTACAAAGACAGATAGCTATGAGYAGCATCACCGCGACCACCGTCAGCTCCCAAATGAGTTCCCCTGGAAACATCTCCATTGTCCGAAAATACACAAGCAGTGGTGGCCAATCATCCGGTTCGTCCGTCACAAGAACATCTAGACCAGCCACCAGCGGGGGAGTAAGCCAATCAACAGAGAAATCTATTCAAGACATCTTTGGTGGAGATAGCCCAAGGGGGGAGTCTACTGGTCTGGAGTTTGACGATGATGACGACAGTGAACCAGAAGTCACCACAAAGAGAGTAGTCGTCAAATCCTCAAAGTCGAGCAAATCGTAAATCGACTTTGAAGGGAAAAGAAAGAACGGTCCAATGACATTTCATCTTTCAGGCTCTGCCAGGGGGGCAGTTAGATACCTATTTTTCTCTAACGAYACTATAATTCATTTTTAATCAACCCATGTGTCTTCACAGACATCTAAAAAACAGAATAATACCTTGAGAGTTAACCAAACCCTTGGAAGGGCCTGATATTTCCTAGTTATTTTTTTTAAATGCACTTAGAATACAAAAATAAAACAAGTAAACTAGAATATTTTTGGCATTTCAGGTTAAAAAAACCTAGATTTAGAATAGATCGACAGGTACTCTCTGCCACTGTGATTCAAGGTAACATCGACAGCACGAATCACAGTCAATTAAATAACTAATTCTAATGTAATTCAAGTACAATTTGCGTGAGCGAAGTAATAATAATAATAACAATAGTATATCGATAATGTCAAACAAATCCAGTTTTTCGATTTTTTTAAAATTTAGTTAAGCACCTTTTTTATTTATAGAATTGTGACACCRAGTGTTAACAGCACCTCAAGAAGTTAATTGTTTTTGTTAGCATCATTTAAGAAAAAAAAACGCTACTCGAAAGCGCGAATTAAGCAACACAAACATAAATTTGGCGCATCCAGTTATCGTTTGAAGCGAATACCTTATTTTCGCTCATGCTACGATCTGAACAACTACAAACTACTTTGATAGGGAATCTCGGAATCAAATGGTTTTGCAAATGAGCGAAAATAAGGTATTTTGGAAATAACGATGATTGACGAAAAAGAGGTGTTTCCAAAACCGCAAGATCTAAAATGTAATTGTCCAAGGTATGTCATGTTTTAGGAGTGACGTTTTTTAAGCAAGTTAATGGTTTATTGCAGTGTACGATTAAATATGGTGTTTCTCTAAATAAGAAGCCAAGGGACTAGGTAACTTTAGACAGAGGACACATAGTTTATTGTAGACCATGGCAATGTTAGCGTTATTCCCATTAAAGAACTGTGTCTTAAAAACTGTCGTCGCCATTGATTAC